AAAAAACTGTTTATGATTTATGGAAACCTTCCTAATGTCACAGCTCAAAACCAGTGAGCTCTTACCCATAAATGACACCATCACTGCTTTTGCACAGATTTGGCAAAAATACCACACAAGATGCTGTCAGATTTGGAGAGCTGGCCATGACTTGTCAAGTGAGCGCTTCATTGGACACCTTCCTAGTGCCAGCTGCCTACCTCATGAATAAGCATGTTTTAGTCTATGAGATTGCAATGTTAAACACAAGATTTTTCTGTTTAGGACATAACAAGGCCAAGGACTTTCCAAAATCATGATTTCCTCTCCTTCCTTTCGAGCTGTAAGGGATTGCATGTATCCAGAACCACGGTGTTTGCCTTCATTCAAGTAGTATGTTACAATTCATAAAGTATGTCAGGATGGAAATGGAAAGAAGAAACAACAGATGGACACATACAAAAATTAAAATATTATTTGGACAGCTTGAAGAACTGGCAAAATGTATAGTAACAATTCATCAGTTCTTCTCTCTGAAGTGGTTGATTTGATAAAAAAAAAATGCCATCTGAGCAATGCTTTCATTATGTAAGTACCCACCAATTGCTTTTGTTTTTGATAAAACATAAACAAAGTAATCTCCAGTATTACTCCCTAATATGTGAGAAGTGTTCTAACAGACAACGAGAAAGTACTGTATCCTAGGCAAAACACATTTCAAGCAGGCAGTTCCCAACCATGCACACCAGTCTTTCCCTCTTCTCCCCAAGAACACATTCCTGCTGAACTGTAGTGAAATCACTTTTATTTTCAGCATGCACTGCCAGTTTACAGCCCGTACTGTGACACAGCATTCCTCCTGCTTTGTTTTGGCTGCTCCTTTTCTGAGCTGACATTTAGCAACATAGCATTAATGCCTGCATAATACTAGGCTTCTTGTCAAGTTAGCCGAAGTTGCAGATTTTAGGCTAAAACATGAGTGGGGCACAGGCTAACCCTAGAAGGAAATTCTCCTCTTCCTTTGGGGTGTACAGCTTGTTTTGTCACAAGGGTTGACTTCATGCCGTTGAAGTTTTGGGCACAGCTGAGCCTGAGCAGCCTCAGCCTCACAGTGCTTGGGGATTGTTAATTTGCTAGCACAGCTGGGCCTTGTTAGGACTGACCAAGCCATGATAGCTACCTCAAAATGCTTGGCTTGGCTCATTCAGATGAGGCTGTCTCTGTGTGTTCTTCACTGCAAGCTTGGATGGTTGTGGATGTCACCTTCCTGTGCAGGATGCAGCGACAGGAATGGGATGAAGGGTGTAGGCTGTGCAACCAAGGATTAAGCTGCAGTTGAAGGTAGGGAGAAGGATTTGGGTTGGGTTTGGGAGCTGGACTTGGTGATCCTCATGAGTCCTTTCCAACTCAAGATATTCTGTGATTCTGTGAAACTTTTCTAGTCATTTTGGTAGACCTGAATCAGAGCTGCAGCATGAGATGTAAGTTATACAAGTGTAAAGTATAATATTGTATAGTTCTATAGTACTTGGTTAAGATGAGTACATTTTTAACTGGTAGCAAATGCTCTTTTAAAGCCATCTCAGTGAAAAATTTTTCACAACAAACAACCAACTGTCCTAGAGGAGCCACTTTTGCTAATAGAAATGTAAGGGTGTTAGCTGGATAGGTGAGCTAAATAGTGGATGTTTGTTCTCTACTTAGTGAATGTCTGCCATAGCCCTGCTAAGTAGCCAGAAACAAATTACGTGTGAAACTCAGCATCCCTCTCCTTTTCTCTTGTGATTGTTATTTGCTTATGCAGCTCATATCCTTAATTTAATTATCAGGAATATGCTTATTTTACAAATTATAACCTTGTAATCTCCTTAGCAGTGAAAAAAGGAAAACTTGTACCACAAGCTATTCTTTGTTGTGCATCACTTTAGTACCAAAACTGTTGTGGACTTCTACTTATTAAAAAAGATTGGAAAGGCTGCTAAGATCATCCAGTCTGCTAGCCCATGCCTTCAACCTCTCTGTGCCACATCAGTCTGTTTAATAGCTACCCTATTCTTGAATCTTCTAGCCAGTGACTCCACCATCCCCATGGGTAGCCCGTTCCAGTGCATCACCACTTTTTCTGAGAGGAAATTCTTCCTCATAACCAGCCTGAACCAACTTGAGGCCATTTCCTTTCATCCTATCACAATTACCTGGAAGAAGAGGCTGATCCCCACTTTGCTAGAACCTCCTTTATAGTTATAAGGACTCCCCTGAGCCTCCTCTTTTTTTCTCCTATTCAATCCCAGGTACCTCAGCTGCTCCCCATCAGACTTGTGCTCCAGAACCTTTGCATCTTCATTGCCCTTCTCTGGACATGCCATGGGGCCTTGATGTTCTTCTGGTAATGAGGGACCCAAAACAGAACACAGCACTCAAGGTCTGGATGTGTATTTATGATTGTCAGTTCATGCCATTTTCCTTTAATCAGGAATCTATCCTTTATCACTCTGCCAACATCAAGGCATGCTTTTGTGCATGGTCACATGCAAAGACAGTCCTGTTAGTACAGCAGCTTGTATGATCAGTGCCTGGCCATGTCCCTGGGAGTTCAGTAGACATTTGTAGAATTGGTGAGGCTTTCAGCAGAACCAAAGGACTGTGTGTTTGATGATCGTATGTATAGAACCAGAATAAATTGTCAAGCAGATGCGTATTTGCTCCTGTTTTTTTTTCTTAGTTAATTTTGGAGAGTGTAAAATATGAACAAATGCATATTTATACATTTATATATAAAGACACATTTATAATATGTCTTCTTCCAAAACTCCAGGAAAGGAACCTGAGGTTTATGTTGCCATAAGGAGGGAAAACGAACACTTCTGACCTGATGCTATGGGACTCTGGAGGTGGATGGCTAGGGCAACCCACACAAACATCTTTCTCGTTAAATGCACGTGTGTTCCTTGCTTGTGCTTTAGTTGCTTTTCTGTAAGAGTCACAGGGTGATTACAGCAGAGTATTTTTGTGAGTATTCATCTAAAATTTAGTGTGGTTCATTCAGTGACTGCATAGATAGCCTTATTTCTTTTCTGTGGTCGTTCTGCAGAGAAGAACAAGAGCAGTTGTTTAAGTAATGAGCTTTAAACTAATAGTGTAGCTTACCCGTTCTGCAAGGTCACTTGTTCATACTCACCTGACTTGAAAGCAGAAAGAACCAGGAGAGCCTGGTCAAGATCCACAGAGCCTTTTGTTGATTTTTCAGCCTTTATTCACAAAATAATTCAACAGATTTTTTTTTGTCTCAGTTTTGCTGACTGCATGTGACTGAGTAGGTTGAGGCTTACAGGGTCGTGAGAAGTCATAATGATAATTTACTAAGCATATATAAGTATGCTTAGAAGGACAGTGTTCAGAAGCATGATACTTACAGTCAGATTTCCAGCGTGAACATAGCCATAGTGATTTTTATTTGGTCATATAAATTGAAAAAGCCCTAGACAGAAATTGAATGCCTTCATTTTTAACCTCTGAAAGTATTCTGAATGATTTTCAACACGTGAAGTGTTATGTCTGCGTTTACTCTTTTTGTCCACATTTTGGACTAAGATGTATTCCAAAACCACAAAATTTACTGAAGAAGCTTTAGTTTGGTGTGACCTAAGGGGCAATCTTACAAAATGCATGACTCCATGAATTCACATTCTTTGTTGCTTATATCCCCTCCAGGAGCTATCTGATGAACTGTGGAATAAAATGGTATTATATGGCTATACCTGTTCTGTAACTGAAATTTTAATGTATATTTTAAAATGAAAAGAATAAACAAGAATTAAAGTAAGCACCTATCTCTCATGTGACTAATATTTTTAGAATAGACATTTGAAGAAATGCAAATCTCCTGATCTTTGAGATCAAAGATTTTGAATTTCTTTCTGTGTAATTTCTTATGTTTCAGACTACAAATCTGGCTTCAACAGTATTTCTGCATTCAAGCTCTTTAAAATAAAACTGCTGTTTAACACAAGAGGTGGAGATGAACATCTATGTAGATATTTTTCTTTCTAGAAGATACTTTGATTATTCTCTAGAAGCATAGCTTCTTTGCATGGCGTGAGATTGTCATAGCTGTAACTTAGATGGTCCCATAAATTCATAAGTGTTCTTCCTTGATCATCCCAAGCTTGTTAAAAAACTCTGTGCTGAACTGCCCATGCTGTGATTGCCAAAACAGATATGACCCGGTGAATCACATCTGATAACGTATCAGCAAGCACAAAGGACCTGTTTTTTTATACTTCTGGGTGATAAACAAACCCTTGATGGCCCAATTCTGCTCTCATTACAGACTGCGGCGGGAACACCATGCTCTTCAGAGGAAAGTGTGTGCTGAACTTTTCACCTCTGTGGCTGTGGAAGCTGGTTCAGCTCCCTCTGACACACTGGGGCATTCGGAAAGAAGGTGGTCAGGAGTGAGGGAGGTGAGATGTACAGGAAGAAATAAAGCGTGGGTGAGTAAGAAAGTCTGTGATCACCTAGAAAGGGACTTGGACTTCATGCAGAAGATGAAAACCATAGGCAGGTAGCGGTTGGGGCAGTAAGAAAATACACGTGCCCTGGCTGGGGCGTATCAGATAGTCCATGCACATTGGCATTAATGCAACAAAAAATTCAGCGAAGACAAAAAGCAGAGAAGATGACAGAGAACTGGAGGACAACCAGAGGTAATGCAACAAAGAAATCAATGGGGAGCAGAAAATTAAGCAAGAGTATGAGGTGAAATGGCAAAACCAGAGGGAAAGGTGTCAGAGCCCTTTGCAGGATGGGAGGAGGAGGTTGGGCACAGACAGTGTCACTGGGGACAGGCAGTGTCAGTCACCTGGCCTGCTACAGGAATGCCGGAAATAAGGAAAAGAGCAACATAGGTCATTTTCCTCGGGGCTGTGGCAAAGCTGCAATGAACTGCAGTTGATGTTATGGCTGTGCTTCCTTGAGACTTGATGTGGGCCGCACCTGCGTACCCGCACGGGCAGTGCCATTCCTGGAGCTAACTCTGTGGGCAGCCCCAGGTCATCGCCCTGGTGTAACAGTATGCAGCACTCCGGCATCAGAGCCATTATCTGAAAGAAGTGCCAGCCAGGAGACAGAGCGCAGGCAAGATGCCAAACCCAAGTTGCATCAGTTAATGTGTAACTCATCATGCGCCAGCTCCTGCCTGCAGCAGCACCGGGCGCTCGGTGGCAGGAATTGGAGCAGGATCTGGCATGGGAGGAGAGTGACGGAGCGCTGCACCCCACAGGTAATGTAAAGGCATGGAGAGGGAGGGAAGAGTAGGTGTGCAAGCCCAGCAAAGTGTGGCCCTCACACTGGAGGGTGCCCAGCTGGAGAGACCTGATTGGTCTTACCAGGCTGGGAGATGGACAGCAGATGCACTGGGGCTGGGAATCAGCATGGATGTGGGCATGGGCAATGTGGCCAGCAGGGGCAGGCTCCTGTGGAGGCCGCTTGCCCTGCTGTACTGCTGGGGTGTGAGGTGGTGACTACTCTGGGAAAGGGCTCTGGGCATGTGGGTCATATTCTAGAAGAGGTTTGTCTGACAAAAGGTCCAAGACTTCACGCATGTCTGAGTATCCAAGCTTGCAGAGTTGCTTTAATGAGGTTCCCAGGAGGTTGGGGTGGCTGGTGCCTAAGGGGTGCTGGTCCCACAGGTGTTACTCTGTTCCTTCCCACAAGCACCCTAATTCCCAGTGACATTAAACAGCTGTACTGGCCCCAGCTAACATTACAAACACTTCTTGAAGGCACTGGAGGCAAACAGATGTAGCTGTGGAGATAATGAGGAAGGATGTAAATAGAAACCTCACCAGAAACCATGGAGTTTTACCAAGTGGCTTTGACACTTACCAAATACCTTTAAGCTGATAAAGATCTGATTTGTACTTCAGAGGTAACCTGATTAGCAACCAGTTTGAATCTGGAATATGTAAATTGGTACAAACATCACTAAATCACTTTCTTTAACTTATATGAAGTAGTGTGAATGAAGGACAGCAAAGGTCAACACAGCCTGGGGAGTCAGAAAGAGTGAGTGTTCCTCTATATATTCACAGTAAAACTGTATGATTAGCAATAACATGTAATTGTATATGCACACATACAATGACACTAGGAGGTTCCCAAAGTCAAACCAGCACTCAGTTTAAGAAAAACTTAAAAAAAACTTGTACATTCAACTGAAGTGTGGTTGTGCAGCATGCTTTTAGCTAGGAGACCTGCCCAGCACAAACCAGTTGCTGATCAAGTGCCCATTTCTAGTTTTATTTTCTTCAACTAGAAGGTGAATGGCTTACTGATTACATGCCCTTGAGGAAATACCTGCTTGTTTTCTCGCAAGCTTTCCATAACTGTCACAAGTTCAGTACTTTGGTTTTCACAAGTATCAATTATTTTCTGACAATACTAAGAGATGTATTTTGGACATCATTTAATGGTATCTTGGGAACTGGGAGTAGAAGCATTAGTATTGGTGTCAAAAAGGTGCAGTAATATGAGCTGCCTGGATTGAAACATTCATAGCAAGATGTTTGCTAGTGCTAGACATTTCCCAGGGCACCACACAGATGCAGCTGGATTCAGTTCTGGGTGCTTACCATTCTTGAACTGCTTTGTGGTGTCCTGTTGGGCATCCCAGAAGGAAGGCCCAGACCATTTCTTGCTCCTCATTGCTGGCATTGCAGGTAAGCTGGTGGCAGAGGTGACACTAACATCTTCAGTGTGACACTAAAATGTTCCTTTCTTAAAAACATTAAAAGGGAAAAAAAATCAATCTGCTCGATAGACATTGCAAACAATCATTTGAACATACAGTGAGATTTATGATATTAGAAGTTGTCATTGTTTTACATCAAGTGATTATTGAGCCTTAAGATACTTTCTGTAGTTGCTTCTTGGCATGATATTTATCTGCTGGGTTTTTTTTGTTTTGTTTTTAAGCAAACAAATTTAAGAACAGGGGAGGGTACTATTTCCTGCATGGGGTCTGTAAATTGTGGCTGGTGTGCAGGAAACTGGAATTGTGCCGTGCTTCCCTTTTATATGCTGCATTACCTGAAAGCAGTGAGGTATTGCAGTCCCTCACAACCCCATCCCTATTTAGATCACTTGGTAGAAAACAACAGTAATTTGTCATACAAAGGGAGCTGCAGTGCTTCAGGGAATGCCTTTTAACTCCCTTGCTGAAGTGCTCACTAGTTTTTATTAAAGGCCTCTTCAGACCTTAACAGATTCTCTTTAATTGGTCACTTGCGTGGCCGGTTAATACACCGCAGTGGAAACCAAGTGCTTAAGTGTGAACAACCGAAACTGGAACCATGAACTTGGTGACTGCTCTGAATGTTGCGGCTATTTATACACAAGGCAGTGTTTTGTCATGCTGATTTTTATTAGCACAGATTAGATACAGGCAGCTCAGAAGATGCCACAGAGGAGTCAGGGCCATGTGGAAGGTGCCAGCCCATAAACAAGTGACAGGGCAGGGAGCCCACTGCCGCCTTTCTGCAAGCACGCAGGGCACTGCACTGCCCTGGGACTGCTGCCAGGGGCCAGGCTGGCACAACTCCTCTTTGCCTGACAGGACAGGCTGGGCCATCACAGACAGGGCTAATCCTGCATCGGGGAAGATTTTCAGTTGTTCTGTGCAGGGAAATGTTTGTTGGAGGATGCCAGAGGCACCAGGAGTGCCTGGAGCACTGCAGAGCTCTCAGGGATTTCAGAAATGTTGCAACACATGGTGTATCAGGGCCCTTTTTGAGGCATTGAAGCTGATTACCAGCTTTGATGCATTACTTTTATTACCTGCAAAGGCAATGGGAGGAAAGCTGGCTTAGCACAAGTGAATGCTAGAGAAGAGAGAACATTTCTCCAGCTCTCTCCATAACATTTTTTGCGGTAGGACTATACACGAGGTGCTGGTACTCCAGCAAAGCCATACTCTGAAATTTCACCTTTCTGGCAGTTAAGCCTTAGGATTTCTCTCTAACACAATTTTGAATTCATAATTGGATGTCTCTCCAAGGCTGAAACAATGTTACGTCTGAAAGTGTAAATTTTGGTTAAAGTTTGGGAAGACCAGTGGCAGTGATAAATTTACATCTGTTTACAAAAAGAAAAAAAACCAAACCAAACAGTTAATAGTGGAAAAAAATGATCTCCTTACCTATTTATTCTGCTTCTACTTATAGGAGCAGCTATACTTGTCTGGTTTTAAAAAAGCCACCTGTGCTACATTCATGAAGCCTGTATGACTTTAGAAAGAAATCGCTCTTGCTCAAAGTAGGGCCAGAAAATGAAGTGAAAAAATATGTATCTTGGGGTCATGTAGCCCTTAGCAGAATGAAAACTCCCTTTGCCACCAAGGAGTGTGAGTTCAAACATGAATATTGCCATTGCCATAACATATGCTTCCTTAGTCCCACAAAAGGGAAGGCCTTGAGTCAAACCACAGGATTTGGCTGTGTGCTTGTGCATGTACAGGTCCATATGCATGAGTGTGTATAAATAAAAGTTGAGAAATCTTGCCATAAGGCATACTACAAAGCACTCTGTACTTCTATACACCGGTGTGCTTTTAATTGGTAACAGTAGAAGGGACTATCTTAAATCAAACAGGTAATCGATCCTAGAACTTCTTGCATCAGTGTGCAATCTTTCTTTGCAGCAAGAGAGACAGCAGCACTCTCTAAAACCAAGGAAAAGGCAATCTGGTTTTGTGCATAAGGCTAACATCCAGCAACATAAACTCCAAAACTGGTTTGTGCCTCTGATTGCTAATATGAGACGCTGCATGAAAAGCTGTTGTCATTAATACAAGCGTGAATACTAATCTGTGGCAGATGCCAGCATGTGTATCTATTACAGAGCTTACCAAGCTGGGCTTTCCTGGACAATTTCCAACCTCTCCAGGGTGAACTTTAGCTGAGTAAGAAATCCAGATTGTCATTCGTGAAGTATCTGGCAGAGGTGCAAATGCTTCCTCGTCTAAATTTTTCTCTGCAGGACACATTCCTTTCTAAAGAGTTAAAATCAATTCCAGGGTGCCATACACTGTAAACATTTATCATTTATTGTGCATTTAAATGTGCACAGCACATACACCACAGTCTTGAACAGCACCTGTATAAAACTACAGACAGATTCTGATAAACGGTGAAAACTCATACCATGTAACATTGTCATCTAGGTTTTAGCACAATATTTCAAAGTTACAACAACTACCTCTGAACATATCTTATGTGAGGCTCTCAGTTGTGGATTTCGATGGTGTGAAAAGTGACAAAGAACCATTCCCAGGGAAACTCTTTGCGATTTTGCTGTCTGAATCCTAGAACAAAACCATCCATTAGCAGAGGTAGCAGTGGTAATTACACAATGGTTGTTCACATACAGAACACATAGAAAGTAGAGAAATCCCCCAAATTACAGGAAAAAAAAAAATAAAAATCCTTAGGCGTGACATTTCCAAATCTCCCTGATTTGGCTTCCTGTTTTTAAACTGTATTTTTGCTTTGGCAGCAGCTGGCTTAAGGTGTGGTCCTGGTCTGCTCTGGTCTCACTGAACTTTGGTGAGTAGATTTTGTCTTCAAGGTCATGTGTAAGCAGAGAATAGAGGTAAGTCTATATGATTCCAATAGAACAAATACTTTCTTGTAGGAATGTAAAAGGAAAAAATTAGCTGAACTCAAATTACCCACGGCCTTGAGACTTGCACGTAGTCAGAAATGGCTAGTTTAGGCTGGAAGATGATCTGTAAACATCCTCTAATTCATTAAACACTGTGGTTAGTCCTGGTTACAACAATGTATCGATGCCATGAAGATGGCATATTGCTTAAAGAGGAGAAAGAAATAACAAAGGAAAAATGGATCCTTGTAAAGACTCCACCATAATCATACCTGATTCTTCCTTCATTGCATTAGGGACATGAGTTACTCTTGCAAAATGTATAAAGAAAAATATAGAGTTACTTGATGACGATATGGTACTGCAGCCTGACAGCTGTCTGCAAATATTTTCACCATGATTATCCTTACTAAAAGTAAATCACTGGGTAAAGATAGCTCAAACGTGACAAGGCTCAAATAGGATGCAACTGACTCTATCTTGAATACTTTTGGCTACATATGGAAAAAAATAGAGATTTGGGATGACAGCAATTGTTCCCCGAAGCCCTCCTCCAACATTATAAGACGAAGCAGAAAAGCATGTACCTTCCATGCAGATTTTGTTAGGAGGTTGGCTTTGAGAGTTAGTGAGGTAGAAATTAATCAACTTTTCTAGGGAATGAGACAGGAAAAAAAAAGCAGCATACTTCTCCTCCCAAATACTGCACCAAAAATAATAAATAGTACAAAACAACCTCGGTTACTTGTAATCAATCTAAATCCTCTCTATGGAGCTTGCGTTTCAGTGAACCAGCAAATGACTTTGCCTTTTTATAGCGTATGAGTATTACAATGTTTGGTTTGTTGGTTTTCTTTTTTTTTTTTTTTTCTTTTTCCACGAATTTTGACAAATGTGTGTAGTCTCCAAATATGAGAGGGAAGTTGATTTGAATGAAGTATAACCTGTTAATCACAGTAGGTGCCCCAGTGGGCTCACTGGGGGAGGAGCAGACAATTTGTTCGTCTAATATGAAGCGGTCGTATCAAATGCAGTGTCCATTAAGGGCCGCAAAAATATGATGCTCCTGTTTATCTAAATAGAAAAGAAAATAAAAAGCCCACTGAGTTTATATAGGTGCTTAAACTTCTTCGCTGCTTGGCAGCTCTAAGACTGACTGCAGGAAAGTTCAAAGTTCAGCGCTGGCAGATCTAAAAACAGATTTGTGGGGCAGCTCTTCAGCACCGCACTTTCTGCACCGAAGTAAACCGATACCATTCCAGTTAAATAGCAACGCTGCACAAAGGAGGTCAGGCATTGTGTGTGGCTCCGCGCCGGCATCCCACCCAGGCACCTCTGTGCTGCTCCTTCTCAAAGGCCAAGAGCTTCTCTGGGACTTATGGGGGGTTTTAAAAACACAGAGGGGAACAAAGCCAACATAGCAAACAAATACATGTACAACAATAGACGCTATACAACACACCAACAGTGCAAAATGTTGTAATGTAGTAGGAATTGAGTGTCACCGGTTATAGAACACATAGTAGCAGCACACCTGTGATAACTTAGGAAACGAATTAAATAAACCACAAAGCAGAAGTCTCCTACTGTTGCACCATGAAATGAAATACCTAGGCTTGGAGGTTTGTTTTGTTCTCAGGAAAAAAAAAAAAAAAAAATCAGAACTATAAATAAATTTAGTGGCAATATATACAGATTTAAATAATTAATTTAAATATCTTACACCTACTCTTGCATAAAACTCTCCAGTAAAAGTGCACCACGTTTCTTTTTTCCCAAACGTGTTCTGAGTCTTTCCCTGTGCTGAGGTAGGTCGGAAGGGAGATGTCTCAGATTCTAGGAAGAAAATGTGTCACCGTCATTGTGGGAGATACTTTATTGCCTTTCTTTGTTCTTCCATTTTTGCTCAGGGCTATGTACATCCCGGGATAAATCCTGGATTCGTAAGCATTGTAGTTGTTTGGCAGGAGGATCTCTTTGAATTTGCACTCATCATTGAAATGGGTCTGAAATGAAAAGGAAAGAATGAGAGGGAAGGAATTTTAAACATCAGGTGCAGAAATATTCTTGCTACCAGGTGTAGTAGGTGTGCTGCAGGAAAAGGTGCAGCTGACATCCCCCCGTAAGAAATCTTTTGAAGTGGTTGTCCAAAGGAAGCTTCAAATGACACTCAGACAATTATTAAGGGTGCTGCTTCCTAGCCAGGCACAGACGCGTGGAGCACGGAAGGATACCCTGTAGTTCTGCCTGTGCTTCTGAGAGAAAGAGGCCCATTTTAACAGAGGGCACTGCCATCAGGAGTGACCCAGATGCAGTTCTGCTGCCCGGCTCATCATCTAGCTCGGCTGATGAGCTTTTACCATTAAAAAAAGTAGGGGAAAAGAAACTGTCAGACACTAGGGCAATGAGAGTTATGAGCTGCAACCAGTGCTCACCTCCCCATGTCAGAGTGCAAGGGCTCACTGATATTTCTGAGTTACATATTGGTAAGTTTACTTAGTTCCCAACGCAGTGGTTGTTCCTACCAGTAGTGAATTCTCTGGGAAGCTTCAGAAAAAAATCTGAATGTTAGCACTTTCTCATGTTGTTTGAAGGGAAAGAGGTATTTTAAAAATGCTCAGAGTGGACAGTATTTTCTGCATCTTGAGTTTTAAAATTGAAGGGTTTAGATTTACCTGTGTTAATGGATCAGGAAGACAGGGCTGACAGAAAGCATGCTTCTTGTAAAGGGGTTTCACATGCAAGTATAAAGAGGGACAGGTGTTGCAGGTGTGTCATATGGAGAGTAACAAATGAGGTCATCTCTTGTTAGTGGGCAAATCTGATGGTTTTGTAAGATAGGTCTCAGCTTGCCAGGATGAACACTGCATTGATAATTGTATCCAGGACACCAAAGCAGCATATTGTTTCATTTAGGCTTGGCACAAAGGGAGCTTTTGCACTTTGATGACTAGTCATTCCTGGCTTTCATGTAGTCAAAATCCTCTGTGACAGGATTGATGCCACAGAAAATAGCTCTGGATAATTCAAGTTTTCGTGCATGTGAAAATGCCCTAGTCAACTTTGACATAATTTGGCCCTTTCTCAGCCCATGTTTCTTCAAAACATTCCTGAGGGACATGAAATACAAAGGCCAGGGGTAGGGAAGGAAATCCAAGAACATGGGGTTGAAATGATGCCAATCACTGTAACTTATACACAGTTGAATTCTAAAGTAGAAGGACAGCTCAATGTGGATTAAGACATGCACTGTTACTGTCCACGCAGTGTGCTTTAAAACATGCCAGTATTTTTTCCATGGACTAGATGTAATAGAAGATTTGCATTGTATCTTAACTGATCTGCCTTTTTATAATTATGAGCCTAGACCCTAAAGGCACTGAACTCTCATGGGAGCTCTCCAATCAAGAGTATTAACAAGGAGCAATCAGCAGGTATGTGACAGGCACTGATTAATCACACCATAAAGGATCATCTGTGGGGCCCTGGCTTCCAGCACCATATACACCTCTCATTCCAGGACACCATGGTCCCTCCCCAAGCACGCAACTAGTGCCTACTTACAGATCCATAGAGTTTGCCTTTGCTATTCATGGCCACGAAGAGTCCGCTTCTAACACCAAATATGCTCACCACTCCTCTTTCCACAGGGGAGATTTCCAGCAGACCTACAGAAGAGACACAGGAATCAGGGGTACAAAGGATTGTGGCCTGAGGAAGTGTGTGATGTGAGTTCTGCACTCATCCAGAGGTTCTTATCCCCAATGTAGCATGGATCCTTATGCCCCAGTGTTGCTGCTCCATGCACCATGCTGGGACCTCTCTTCTTTTAGCTAAGTATCTATTTTTACATTGCCCCCAGGCATCCTCCTCTGTATCCAAGGTTAAAATAAGCCAGATTGTGTTTGGGGCGTATGAAACATTTGTCATCATGCAGCTTATATCCCCTCCTTGGATCTTATTGTTTCAGTTGGATATCAGAGTCACGGGGCCATGGGGTTAAGTCTCTAGCAGATGCTTTTCAAGTCTGAGGGAGAGCTGGGCCCTGGTTGAGTTCTTCCCAGCCCCTACTCAAGGTGGGCGGCCCAGGGCCTGAGGATCCTTTAGATGTTGAGGTAGCCCCTACACCTGATGCCTGCTGGTTGCGAGGGGACAGCGCGGCGCCGGGCAGCGCGACCCGCGGGGCGGCCGCATGGAGCGCTCTCTGGGCTCCGTCGCCGTCCCGTTCCCCCGGGCGCAGGACGCCCTCGGGGCAGCCGGCGCGAGCGGACTTTTCTAGGCGGCGAGAGGTCTGCCCTAAACCCACCCTCCGTTTAACTCAAACCGCTCTCCGGGTGAGGCGAGCCGCTCCGCGTCCGCAGAACCGTCAGAGAAGCGGTTCCCCGGGTGCGGAGCGGCTCACCTGCCCGGCTGCGGGAATCGGCGCCGGCTTACTGTATCTGTTCTCGCTGTGGATCCCGTCTATGCGGCCGTCGGGCAGGACCTGGATGTGGAAGCCGATGCCCACGTTGCAGTAGAGACGCCGCAGCCGCTTGATGCCTAGGAGGTAGTCGCCGTCGCGGGCGGCGTCGCGGCGCTCGGCCGGGAGACGCGCTACGGAACGGGCGAAGAGAGCCGCGTCCCACCGCCGCTGGCGGGGCCCTGCGGGGAGGCGGCCCGGGGGCGGCCGGCCGCGCACCGCCCCCGGCCACAGCAGCCCCAGGAGCAGCGCCGGCAGCAGCGCCGCGGGGAGAGGCATCCCGGCTAGCGGCGCGCAGCCACGGGCCAGCGGCCGGTCGCTCCGAGAAGGCGCTTGGCCCCCAGCTCCCGCTTTATAGTGAGGTCAAAGCGGAGGGGAGAAAAAATCAAAACAAAACGCACACACAGAAAAAAAAAAAAAAAAAGAAAAGAAAAAAAAAAAAAGAAAAAAAAAGAAAAAGAAAGGAAGAAAAAAGAGAAAGGAAAAAAAAAAAAGAAAAAAAGAAAAAGCGAGGCTGGAAGGAGAGCCCCGCGTTCAGTCCCCTGAGGATCTGCAGTTTCCCTGGGCAGGCTGCATGAAGAGGAAATCCCGGGAGCAAGAGCTTCTGAACTTGATCTCAACTCCAGGAGTCTTGTCTGAAGTGCTGATCTTCTATAGCTGCTCAGCCATAGCGCTTTAGCCCTAGCCACGATATTTATATATCCATGTGCGTTGGTACCTATTACATCACCACCTACTGCTGCAGCCCTCGGGTTTAGCTGTAAGTCAAATTAGCACCCTAGATGCTTAACATCTCAAGCGTCTTCAGGGGAAAGGGTGAGCAGCACTGGCACTAAACAAGAGGGACAGCACAAACTTTTTAAAAGAAAAGGTCATATACTGCATTAATCACACAAGTGTCTTTTCCTTTCCTTTTCCTTTCCTTTTCCTTTTCTTTTCCTTTCCTTTTCCTTTCCTTTTCCTTTCCTTTTCCTTTCCTTTTCCTTTCCTTTTCCTTTCCTTTTCCTTTCCTTTTCCTTTCCTTTTCCTTTCCTTTTCCTTTCCTTTTCCTTTCCTTTTCCTTTCCTTTT